GGGATTTTAACAATGTCGTTTAAAGACAGCAGTTTTTGTAAATTCTAGTGTCGTTATAACAACAACAATATAATATATGATTGGGTCTTATTTTGGCTGTCTCATACAAATTGCTTGGCCTTTGTTTTTATACTGAATTCGACTGCGGAAATATTCTGGCTACCTGATCAGGGTGTGACCTGTCAATAAGGGGTGCTTATCCTCCTAGGCACCTGATCCCACCTCTGGAATTTTCGGAGGTCCGTGTTTATGCCCTGTTCACTGATTTGTTTTGTTTATATATTTTTTGAGATCGATCCCTAGCTGTTCGTTATTTTCATTTTCCTCATTTCAGACATCGTTATGGTAATGCAACTAACATTCGATGTGGTGCAGTGGTTAGAGGGTTTGCACTAGAATCGCGGAGTAAGGAGTTGATACTTACGTCGTGAGTTCGAATCCCACTTCGGGACGTGATAAGACTGTACTAAACTAGGTTAGTGTCGGAGTAGGTGCTGGCTCGTTATTCCTTATCAGGCTTTCAAATTCCAAAATAAAAGAAACGCAGTATTTATTTATTACTTGGCATTTGTTTAAAAAAAGGTAAAACTCAACATCCATCGATCGACGCCATATATTGGATTTTGAGGTGGACTATCTAGCAAGCTTGTTCGATCGCAAAAACTCGGGCGTTTTCAACTGTTTTGAATCACATTCACGTGCAATCAAAAGAGTTTTGATCAATTCAAAAATAAATTGGGAATAACTCTTTGGAAGAATAAGGTCATAGCAGACAAAATTCATATCTTCTTGTGTGTTTAATTATTGCATGGATTTTTAATTAATTTTAAATGAATGAAATATGGAGATAACGAACAGGATTCAAGCTCATAGTCCATTTTAACAATACAAATCGGGAACAGAGCAAACACGGACCACCAAAAACATCGGAGGCGGGATCAGGTGCCATGGAGGAGTGAGCATCCTCTGCAGACCGGTCACACTCGCCGTGTGTTCCTTGTCATGATGAGAAAAACAGAAAAATCCCTAGACAATTCAGTGTGTAAGTAATGGCCTGACAATTAGTATGGAAAACGTCAGTCAGCATTTGACTTAACGATAGATTGTATTTGCTGACAAGGTCATTTTATCGATCATAGAATTTGCGAAATGATGACAATAATGCGTTTTCGTATAATTTAAAGGACATTTTAATCACATGTACACATTGATTGGAATCTTTTTATCATTCATTGTGCTTAAAATAACACCAAAAGTGCATTCATTTTTGAGCATTCTTTGCATATTGTTACAGTGTAATTCAATGATTCTTATACATAACTAATAGTACATATATAACATACCAACAAAAAAAACTTCGATTTTAGGTAACATTGAACATTTCCAATTCATTATGAATTTTTAATTCCACTTTCAATATTTTTTCACACTGAAATGAAATTTTGCCTTGTATTGCATAGTGAAACACTGTAGAGCCCCCCCCCCCCCCCCCCCCCCCCGCGTGTGCTCGTTTCTACGTCAGCTAAAAACTAAACTGTATCACTGACTGGATAGCTTTAACTTTTTTATTTTTACATATATGTACATGTATTTATCACAGACATTTGGCGTATATGCCGCCTATCGGAATTTTATTAGATTTGAATGCGATCAATATAAAACTGGGGCAATCTATTGACAACTTGTCTAACCTTACAGAATTTCAACATCCTCCTATAAAGTAGTATTGTGCAAATTTTATGGTACTTATTTGTTTATTGTAATTACCTTGTTTACAGTTATTGTTTGCCTCCAACTGTTATGCCATTTTCTTTATACAATTTTCACTGACGGATAAACATTTACCTGATCGATACAGGGGCACAGGACTGGTCGACAGGGAATGTTTACTGTTCCGTGGCACTTGAGATCACATCAGGTGCTTTAAGGGGTCCATACTTTCCCCTATGTTAGCGCTTCCTGCTCTTCAGCATTTATGATGTGGAAACTTTTGCACGGTGAAGCTAGAGCTTTAATATTTCACATGTGTATTTCATGTATACAGGCCTTTCTTTGGGTACCAACATTTTTATCTTCTGACATTTACTTCTGATTTTGATCTAAACCTCAACCATAACTTGTAAACCGTGGGTGATAGGACTTTCATATTTCATTTTTTGTGAGATGACCTTTCTTTCTGAGGTACATGTAATGACCTTGACCTTGTAGTTGCTTTTCACTTTTTAATGGTTACCGTCAGTGCTTTTTTACTTATGCATTTATTGTGAAGAAGAAAGAATCATGAATATTTCCTTCTAAGCTCCTGATTATAAATTCTAATTTGGTCTGTATTTCCAGGTAAACAAATATGTCAAAGCTGATTCAAATTTCATATTGAAAATTTTAAAAATTACCGGGTGGCTTAAAAAAAAAAATATTCCTACAATTCTTTCATATTGTGAATTCAATACATGTACTTTAATTCCTATACAGTTTGTTTTGGTCGACAATATATCATGTAAAACGCTTATGAAGTTTTAGCTTCCTTATAGTGTTCATACTTTTAAAAAGTATTATAATACATAGACGTAAGTTTGAAAAAAATATTGCTCATTTTTATTCAAATTCTTTTGAGGTAATTTAAATAGTTACATACTTTTCTTGAAGTTAAGAAGTCTTCACGACAAATTCATATACAAACATACCAATATCTCACTAATTAACAAAAATATGTTCACTCAGAAAGAATAAGAGTAAGGGTATTTGTAATATATTTTTCATGTGAGCACCTTCAAACAACCGCCTACGCAAATGATTCAAGTATAAAAAAATCGGATAAAATATCTGAAAATCTTTGACATGTATATGTAACCTTGATTTTAATAATTTTTACAAACTTTTTTAAAATAATTGTACTGATATAAATTGTTTTCATTTTTAAGCCTGAGCATGTAATCAATTTTGGTCTACTATTTGAAGACATATCTCCTTTGTAAATTCTATCTTACTCTAGTAAAATATTATGCACATACAAAAGTCAAAGCATTGAAAAAGGAGACATACATGTAACAGTCGAAACCATCAAATCTATCATATTTTACGTTCATAGGAGATGACAAATAGATCTCAAGCAATGTTTTGTGTCAAGATCATTGCACTTTTAATTCAAAAGGAAAGGTAACCTGGTAAAGAAATAAAGAAAATGTAATAATTAATCATGAAATGAGACCACTTGGAAGACAAATCCCAGTATGTGTGATTTTGTTCATCATCATACAAAGGGCATGATCACTGTCGATTCTTTTAAAGCCCATAACCCCCCCCCCCCCCCAAAATAAAATATCACCCCTTTATAACATAGTTGAAAATGTAACTCACCGTATCCAAACGATTGGGTTATTGCGGAAAGTAGACAAAATATCCTAAAAAGAGCAATGCTCCATCCATCAGGATCCATGTTAAATGTATACAGAGAAATGCAAAATATAAATACCTATCAAATATGGTAGTGTTAAATACCAGGAAATAAGGAAATTTACACTGTTGGTATTTATAGACTCAGTAATGCTTGTTATAATTAAATCGAAAAACTGTTCACTAATAATACAATAATGAATTTATATCAATGGTGGGTGAAACATTGTAACCACTATTGAAATAACACTTATTACAAGTGCTGAAAAAACATATTTTTGTATATTTTCCCTCATAGAGCACCTTCTATTACAAGTGAGAAAATAAATCTGTTGAAGAAAGTTAAACTTCCAACAATCTCAACGATAATTCTTATTCTTCACTTAGATTTGTACATGTATATGTATATGCTGTTAACAATAGAGACTTTGGGTCACATTGCTTACAATTAATAATATACAAATCAATTAATCATTACATTTATTTTAATGGTGGGTGTTTCAATAGTGATTAAATGAAACAATGACCAATATTGAAGCAATCATTTTCATAATGATCGTTATTATCCGTCAGAATAATAGGATTAGAGTTTGTCACATGTTGGGAGACAATTTATGATGTCTCTAAGGTGATAACTGTGTTGTATCCCTTCAGATGACAATGAAATAGCGCAAGCGAGGGTGCAGAGTGACAACTGTGTTGTCTCCCATCAGATGACAATAAAGTAGAGCAAGCGAGGGTGCAGAGTTACAACTGTGTTGTCTCCCTTCAGATGACAATAAAATAGAGCAAGGGAGGGTGCAGAGTGACAACTGTGTTGTATCCCTTCAGATGACAATGAAATAGCACAAGCGAGGGTGCAGCGTGACAACTGTGTTGTCACCTTTTCATGAATATAAATTAAGTTTCGTAAGCGAGATAAATCATATTTATATCACTTATATATGCGGAATTGGTAAACAATGAATTCTAACGGTGACGTCAAAGTTATCTGTTGACATATTTTGAAAGAAGTGGTAAGAGAACACAAGAAGTTTGACTGATAGTTTCTACTTAATAATTTAGATTTTTCAGGATAATAAAACGATTATGAACTGTTTAGAAGTGAGACATAACCAATTATCAGGCTTGAGTAGGGTGTCACACTACTCAGACCTGATACATGTAATTACTGATTATAAAGTTAGACACCCGTGCAACAGAACATAACATTTATTGTAGTGTCTCCCGGTTTTTTGTATATTAGACAAGTCGTACATAGATCATTGGTAATATGTGACATCCCCCTTTTTATAATGAAGAAAATGACAGTAAAAATATCATTAAAATGAACAGCAATTACAACATGCCTTACACTTAACTGTTTTTAATATATGGACAATTGATATTGAAATAAAATGTCAATTTCTTGAATCTAAAAAAAAAATAGTTCATTCATTGTGAATTAGATACACATCTTATGCAACATTAACATGAATGTGCCATAATGAAACATAATGAAACATTAATTAGAGATGGACAGACATATGCTACGTGCATAATACACGATGAAAATTTTAAACATCATACATGTTCATCAATTGCAATCACATCACAAAACACAGACACTAATATTTCACAAAATCCTTGAATCTCTGAGGACACACTACATTCCTCCCAGATCGAGTGCAGATTTTGTTTGGATCCGATACAGGTTGTTCATGAGGTTCGATTTCCGGCATTGGCTTTTCAAGTGAAGCATTACAAGGAGTGTTCGGTTTGCATGGTGTATCCATACTCTCTGGAGCTAGATCAAGAGGATCTTCAGTTTTGGGTTCGCCTGAGATTGTTGCGGAAGTCGGACGGATGTGGCGTCTGTTGCGGCGGTAGCGTTTACCGGACTGTGTTTCAAGAATGTAAGATCTTGGAGAATTGTGTTGTTGCACAACTACTGCAGGAGTCCATTTGTTTTCATGGCGCATGACAGTGGCCTCCCCAGAATAAAGATCACGCAACTCTTTTCCAGCATGTGCATCAAAGTTCAGCTTTTGTTGGTATTTGCGGGTTTTAAGGCGTTCTTGAATATCTTGCATGCCAATGATTGTAGATTCCAGGAGTGGTGATGCTACAGGTAAGTCAGTCTTGAGACGTCTACCAAAGAAGAGTTGTGCTGGGGACATTCCTAGCATGTCAATTGTAGTGTTTCTGTAAGCAAGTACGGCTTTGTATGGAACAGAACAATTGCGTAGAAGTTGTTTAACTGTTTGTACAGTACGTTCCATCTGTCCATTTGCCTGCGGAAAGTGTGGGCTTGTAGTTACGTGAATGAAACTATAATCCCCTGAAAATTGCCTGAAGGATTCGCTAGAAAATTGGGGACCATTGTCCGATATGAATTTGTCGGGTATCCCATAACGTGAAAAGATGCTTTTCAAATGTAAAATGGTGTTGCCACTAGTTTGGTATTCAAATTTAGCAAATTCAGGCCACTTTGAGAAGTGATCAACGCAAAGTAAGTATGAGTGTCCCTGAAACTCAAAAAGATCAGCTGATATAATGGACCACGGACGTGATGGGGTTTCAGTTTCCACAAGAGGTTCCTTAGGATTCATGTTGCTATTTACTGCACAGATGGGGCAGTTTTCTACCACTTCGTGAATAGAAGTAATCATCCCCGGCCAGAATAAAGTTTCACGAGCTCGGCTCTTGCATTTGACAGTTCCAAGATGAGAGCTGTGGATGCGATCTAGCATTTCCTTTCGCAGTATGGTCGGTACTGATTTTATGTCCTTTGAACATTAAACCATCAATGCATGTAATCTTGTCCCGGAAAGGCCAAAATGGGTAAGTGGATCTTGGTAAATTGTCTTTGGTATCCGGCCAACCAGATTTGACGACTGCCTGCAATGTTTGAAGTTCCAGGTCTTCCTGTGTTGCTTTCTGAAATCGCTCATACTGTTCTGGTGTCATGGGTAAGTATGCAATAGAGTTGACTTCAATATCAGGCATGAGCTGTTCTTTTGTTTCCTTAAGGAATGCACGGCTAAGGGTATCTGCCAAAAACATGCATTTTCCAGGTTTATATACAACTTCGAGGTCGTAAACGCTGCAAGGTTAGCAGAAGGGACTGTAGTCTGGCAGGCGCTTGATAAAGCGGCTTACGAAAAATTGCCTGGAGTGGCTTGTGGTCGCTCTCCACCAATACGTGGCGGCCAAATACATACTGATGAAATTTGGTACATCCAAACGATATGGCTAAGGCCTCTTTTTCAATTAGGGCGTAGTTTTGCTGACTCCTTGTTAAAGCCCGCGACCCGTATGCACTTGGCTGACCATCCTGAACAAGAGCAGCACCAAGACCCTTCGAGCTGGCATCTACAGTCAAGGTTAGTGGCTTTCTCGGGTCACAGTAACGCAATACAGGTGTGTTGCTGACGAGACCTTGAAAGTTTGAAAGCTTTCTTCCTGTGGTTTGTCCCAGTGGAAGCAGACGTCCTTCTCCAGGAGTGTTCTGAGTGATGAACTCACTTCGGATAAGTTTTGTAAAAACTTTCCTAGGTATTATATGAAACCGAGAAATGTTTGTAGTTCTGAAACATTCTGTGGAGCAGGCATATCTTTAATCGCGCGAATTTTCTCAGGATCGGGCTGAATCCCTTCAGAGGTAAGTACATGCCCTACATACCCAACCTGGCTCTTCCGGAACTCGCACTTCTCAGCACTCAGTTTCAGATTGCGATCACGGATGCGATTCATGACAGCTCTTAGTCTATTATCATGTTCCTTCCTGTCTTTTCCCCATATCAGTATATCGTCTATTATTGCTTCACATCCTTCCAGGTCCCTAACCATATCTGAAACTGTGCATTGGTAAATTTCAGAAGCAGAGTTTATGCCAAATGGTAGCCTGGTGAACCTATAGCGCCCATATGGAGTATTAAAAGTGGAGAGTTTCGAACTTTCTTCTGTGAAACCAATTTGCCAAAATCCAGATGTGGCGTCTAATTTAGAAAACACCTTGGCTTCAGTGATCTGCTGTATGACGTCCTCAATGGTCTTGAGTGGGTAATGCTCTCTGCGAATGGCTTTGTTAAGATCCTTGGGATCTATGCAAATACGCAACTTTCCATTTGGTTTCAGCACGGTCACCATCGAATTAACCCATGCTGTGGGTTCTTTCTGTTGAACGATAACACCAGCTTGTTCCATGCGGTTGAGTTCATCCTTGATTTTGTCACGGAGTGCTAATGGCACACGACGAGGTGGATGTATCACTGGAGGCACCAATGGATCAATCTTGATTTCCTGTTTCACAGGTAAGAGTCCTAAGCCCTTGAAAACGTCGCCATATTCGGACTGAATATCCTTAGGAATATTTGTTGTTTCTGAATAGTCAAGCTTGTAGGCTCGCTTAACAAGTCCCATGGCTGAGCAAGAAGCAGATCCTAGGATGGGTTCTGAGGGTAGGTCAACAACTTCAAAAGTGTTTTCACTTACATGGTCTCGATATATACACTGGAGTTTAATGTTGCCAACAGGTTTCACTTTATGTCCACTGTAAGATTTCAAATTTGCTTTGGATAAAGCAAGCTGGTCAAGTTTTAAGCCTAGTTCATTGAAAATTTTCATTGGTAACACATTACACTTAGCACCAGTGTCCAACTGGAAGCATACTGGCCTGTCATTAATCCTGATGAACTAGGTCCAGTCTGTGTCCACCCTACCGATGTCTACATCCACACAACCCAGAAATAGTTCTTCAGCATCTGTAACAGGGACATGTACCGTGTTAACATGCTTTGAGCCTGAGTGACATTTTTTTGCAAAATGGTCAAGACGGCCACATTTGTGACACCGATTTCCCTTGGCTGGACATGCTAAAGGGGACGCACTGTGTGAGTATCCACAACGTGAACAATCATCTATTTGCTGTTGTTTTGTGTGGTGCGAATTAGATTTCTGTCGTTGATGTTGTTTACCATTGTTTATGGGAACAGCTTTGTTTGGTTTGGTGGATTTCCAAGACTTAGGTTGTTTGGACGGTAGTTTGCTGCGAATGGCATGAACTGAAGTGTCTTCACCAGATATTTGTCTTGCCTGAGTTGTAGATTGTTCATGAAGTCGTGCAATGTCAAGTGATTTCTGCAGAGTCAAATCAGACCCAACGTTTATGAGTTTTTAACGTATTTTATGCGATTTTACACCAATGACAATTCGATCTCGGACCATTTCATCACTTTTCTCATAGTTGCAATCACGAACAAGTAATTTTAACTCTGTAACGAACTGATCAAATGTTTCTGTATCAGACTGAACTCTAGTTTGAAATCTGTACCTGTTATAGATCACATTAGTTCGCGGCTTGACATACTCCTCAAACTTCTTGTAGTGTACACTTAGCTTTTTCCGATCATCCTCTGATAGGTTCCATGTAGCGAAGATATTACGACCTTTATCTCCTACCCAAATCATCAGGTATGCACATTTTTCTGGTTCGGATTTCGATTCAAGCGGCCCGGTAAACACAAATTCCACGTGTCGTTTGAAAGACTTCCAAGCACCCTCCAAGTCATTACTGTCCCAATTCATGGATGGACTTGATCCAATAAGGCTCTCCATCGTCCTTTTTAGAGATGATGGCTGTCGATGGCTTGGATTCGGCACACTTCTGACACCATATAAAGTTAGACACCCGTGCAACAGAACATAACATTTATTGTAGTGTCTTCCGGTTTTTGTATATTAGACAATTCGTACATAGATCATTGGTAATATGTGACACTGATGTTTCCCTTCTTAACAGTCCATAAATGTATATTACATCAGTAGTGGATGCAAAGTAGTGTTGTTTTTGAAATGCATTAATTATTTCAATAACAGTCCTTATATAGTTGTTGCAAGGAAGTGCAGTTTATGAAATGAATTCTCAACCAACATTGTTATAGTTATTTCAACAGAAGCGTTTTATCAATAGTGGTTACAAATGTATATGTACTGTTTCTAAGGTGCACTTTCAACCATTACACTGTATTAAAATAATTATTTCAATAGCATTCGTTATTATAATAGTTGCAATTCGCCCGTATCATTTAAAATTATACTCTGACAGTTACATAGAGAGAATGATAAGGTATTTACACCAGAATACAAGTCCAAAAGTTTGACAATTTGAAACTCAATAAGCAAATCAAACAAAATGCAAAATAGCTAAAACTATATCTACAGTACTGCTAAGTTTAAGAGTCGAGTCTCCTTGAAGTTTGTCGTTGCCTACACGGCTATTTACAATGTACATTTCCTTATTTCTACAAAAATCAATTTATTTATACCCATTATTATTTGCAGTGGTATCTTTAACAACTCTTTTTTAAAGGATATTATAATATTTAAATATCATGGATCTTGTGATCGTATATGTAATCATATTTTCATTGCAATTGTTTTGATTTAGTAAAAATATATTGCCAGTGAAACAGTCATATAAATTACCAACTCTAACATTTCAGTCATCCAACATACATAATAGTTAAATCTGTATTTAAAAAAATGACAATCTCTTGTTCAATTTCTATAAAAAAAAAAACAACTCTGGAAAGAATATCTACATTCTACTGGGGGTATAAAAAGAACTCCATAAATTATATTTTTGGTAGTAATAAATAAACCTTTGTTCATCTTGAACAACAGAACGTACAAAATCTGTATTTATCATGCTTACAAATTTAACAACGTTATCTTTAACAGTTAAAATAATACCCTCAGATCGAACATACGAAAGTTCACGTCTATGTTTCGTATGAGTAAATTTAACGACGTTATCCTTAACAGTTAAACAAATACACTTAGATCGAACAAACGAAAGTTCGCGTCTATGTTTAGTTTTGAACCTAGGTATTTGTATGCTATCGGAATTACATGTTTCAGTTTCTGTCAGACCAATTATATCATATTTTGAAAAAAAGGTATATAAATTCACCATTATTCAATCTGTTTTAATCCCCATACATTTAATGACAGAAATTTTAAACTATTTATAATTACACACAGCGCCCTTCGGCGCTTATTCTGTTCCTCCGCGCATTCCAAGTATCTATTTTGATCAAGAGTTGATATGTAACGCGGCTATTTTGTTAATTGACCCATCTTGTCGTTTGGATTGGATCTTCTCGCTCTTGTTGTGCTGTTCAGCTCGTGTAACCTGGAGGCATTGCGGTGAATTCGGCAGGCGCGTGATATTTAATGCAATTTATGAAAAGGGGGTCTCACAAATTTAATACGTTTATAATCTTTTTTTGAGCCTGACCACTGGATGTAACTCTACCAATCAATTAATGAAAAGTGACTGAAAGACATAAAAGGTGACCAAATGGGAGAACTTTGCCATTAAGTCACCTTTCTAGACCTTTCAGTGACCATTCAGTTGACTGAAAGGTGAAGTTTCATCCTGTGGCCCGGATAAAACTTCTTCCTTTTATTTTCTATCTATTAAAAATTGTTCGTTCACCGAGGCATGTGTTCCATTAGACCTTCAGGCTGCATTTAGACAGATATATTTCATATTTCTAGAGTATGTGAACTTGGCCACGATGTTTCTCGGCAACTTGCTAAATTC